TAATACAAAAATTGAAGAGGCAAAACTACAAATCAGCAAGGATAATTACCGGATAATTAAATTTATCGAATTATTATTAAAGAAAATAAATATCTTGATAATTCACAAACTCTGCAAGTTAGACATTTACAATTCAGGCAAATGGCTTGACGATGTGGAGTTACCCGTTTACAAATTCAACTCACCCTTAACACTCATGATTGCACTCGCAGTGCGAACTATCTATCAATCACAGCCCCACTGATTCGCCGTTTACCAAAAGGTGCTAACAGCGTTCGTTTGTGATTAATGATGTTTTACCTTTATATTGATGTCATTTTGATATAGGGCGTGGGAGACGTAAAGATTTATAATGTTCGAACTGGCTGGTAATGCCTGATGGGTTTCGATTGTCTACCAATTTAAAGTTTATAATGTAAGTGCGTTCACCTTACTGCAGGCCGTTCTTTACTGGGTTTGCCTTGACGTGGCCGCCACTCCAGAACAAACCAGCTCCATTGGCCATCAGCTCTCCTGCAGACATTCCCGTCTCACTGTTACTAAAGCTTACTGTTAGTTCTCTAACGTATGTCTTTCTTAGGAATTCGGTCTGTCTAGAGAAACCCCAAGCATAGCTCGCTCCAATGCACTTTGCACTACTTTAAATTTGTAGATGAGGCTTGTTGTTAATATCCACGTGCAGGCTCCGTAAGATACAACCGGTAGAACGCACTGGTTGAATGCCTTTGTTTTTAGACTTTATGGTATTGACGACCTGAAGATGTGGCTAAGTTTCTCAAATGCCGTCCAGCCCGAGCAAATTTTGTAAGTATCATAAAATTATGAATGTATTTTTTTTTTCTATGTTAAAAAGTATAAATGGCGGCTGTATGTAACCTTTTAAGACCCTGCTAGACTACCACTATAATTTCGTTAACTTTATGGATCCATGCCTTTGTGTGGATGTCACTTGTAATACTTGCTAGTTAATGCATTAACTATTATGAAGTTTGATAAGAAAACTTGTAAATAGACAACTCTAACTCAGAAATTAAAAAATCGGGAAAATCATCTTTATTTGGATAATTTCCTTCCATGCAATAGGAAGCAGGGTTGAAAATTACCAAGACATTTATTTTCTTTGATAATTGTTATGATAATTGTCCAATATGTATCCGATAATTATCCATGCTGATCATATGCTGATTCTAGTTTTTCCTCTTTAATTTTTGGACTAAAAATGACAAACTGTGAGGAAACTTTAACTTTAACTGCCTCGGTGGCCGGACGATTACCATGCTGGACTGCCACGCAGAGGTCTCGGGTTCGATTCCCGGGACGAGAAAAATATTTGTATGGCCTACACTTATTTCTCCCGTGAGTTTATCTTGTGTGGCCATGGCACCCGTGATACAGGATATCCCTAGTGAGGGTAATGAGTATGTGCATTAAAAAAAAACAAATATACACTAAGAAACATTTTTGGGAAAACTACTTAATTTGTGACTTTGTTAGACTGATATTTGACAAGTTTGGATACGTCTGATACAAACACATGGCTCCACATTGCTAGCGGAAATATTTTGTTGTTCCAATTAATTTTATAAATATTAAAACAATTATCAAGGTACATTTATAAAAATAATTATCACTTTGAACCCTGATGGGAAGGTAAAAAAGCTCGTCAAGTTTGACACTTTGAACTTTGGACCGTTCTTCTTATTTATTAAACATGCACTTAACCCTGTACTTAACAAAAATATATCTATGTAATTCATTGAACGATATATTATTGAACAGCTCTGTTAAAATGTCCTTGTGTTTAACGCTTCAGTCCCGAGATATATAAGCCAGTTTTAGGGTGCGTCCCCTTATAAACTTTTGAACTACATATGCAATAAATTTAAAAAATCAGGAATATACCACTTAGTTGTTAATAAAATTATAATAAATTTTGTAACAATAATGCTGAGTAAATATCCCTTGTATCGACAGAGGTCCCATATAGATATAAAGGTCCCTATCCTAGCGGATAAACAATTTGTGGGTCTGAATTCGCGTCACCAATTAAATGCTTTTTTTGCTCGCTAAACATATGCATAATTATACCAAAAAAGAAAAATATTTACCTAAAGCACATTACATTTTGACACTTATCTCTTATTGTATACTAAATGAAGTTGAAACGGTATGTGTATGTGTATATGTGTGTTTATAACAAAAATAATAATGTAACAACGTCACGACCCGAGCGAAGTGTAAGCATTTACTTGCTTCATTATACTATGGTCGAAGTTTCCACACTTTTCCCATCGAAACTCTTAAGCAGATCACATATAGAACAAACATACTTTTACGAAACAGACACCAAATTCTATTCAACAAAAATATCTGCTTATGTTCAGAATTACAAATATTGCAATTCATAATCTAACACTCGATAATCAGACACTCTTTGGGAAAAACCAACAAGTTTCAGACTAACAAACTGTACGTGGAAATGTTTATTTTAATCATTTGCCACGTACCATTTTAACCGATAACGTAATGAAATGTGCCTACAGCACGCAATGACAAAGTACTCAACTTATGCAGCTAATATTGAACGTTAATTTATATAAGTACAGCTGAAGCTACTCTTATGAGCAAAAAATTAAATAGATTTCATGGTTTTTTTTGTCTGATACGAAGTTAAAACGATAATCGTTGTTTCGTATTTCTGGTTTCATGGTAGACCTCCTATTCGCAGTAGACGGATTCGATAATTATAAACTCGCTTTTGTTTATTTTATGCACTTATATGTCATTTTGCCCCATCATAAATTGAGGGGTAAGCCAAAAAAGGGTACGCCATTGTACTGAAGTTCATTTTTAGAAGTGCAGTATTTTTCGTAGTAAATTAATAGAAAACTCTTCGACGTTAAAATTCATGCATTATTAATAACAATAACTAACTACTTAATAACAAGAAAGTAGTTGTGGTGCAATTACCCCGAATTATACCGACTGACAAACGTCTTATGTCAGTCATAAAAAGGCTTTTAATCACTTTTTAACCGACTTCAATAAACATGGATGGTTTAAATTTGACTGTTATTTTTTTGTATGTTACGCGTTTACTCCGACATTTGTATACCGAATTAATTTTTTTTCTTACAAATAGGTTACCTCAGTGACCTTATTCAAATTTGACGAAAATATTTCACCTCTGAGAGTGGCATATTAGGGGATGAATCTGTTTTATTGCATTTCACACACTTTCCGTTAACCGATTTCAATAAAACTTGGCAAATGAGATGAAATTTCACAAACTTTTGAGGTTGTTCATTTTTATGAATTATTGAGTTCAAAATTGAATATAGACTTTTGTAATACTACTCCGTTGTTCCTTACAAAAGGAATTTAAGTGTCTTAATACATATTTAGTAAATCGATCTCGATTCAATCATTGCCATGGAATACATTACCGTTTTTTTTTTGTGCTGCACACAGTGTACAATCAACCAAACCAACATACATTGTGTAGGAAGCATCTATTGATGCGACACAATAGAAATCTCCCTAACGATATCGATTCGCCTTCTATTTGGCAAAGCTAATACCGAATTATTCTATAAGCCATGCGGTCGAAAAAAAAATATACAAACGGTCCATTCCGATGTCAGTAGCAAATAGAATTTTGATTATTTTTAACAGACTTAAAAAAAAGGAAGAGCTTCTCAATTCGAGTGTATGTTTTTTTGTATTTATGTTACGCGATAACTCTAATTTGTAAACCAATTTTGAGGATTTTTTTTTGTTGGTAAGAAGGAAGAAAATATTCCACCTCTAAGGGTGGCAAACTAGGGGATGAATGACTTTTGAGGTCGGTTTTTTTTAGTACTCTATATTGAGATTATTATTTTAATTATTGTATCCGTTTTGATGTACTATAAAGTATTTTTGTATTTAATGGTATTGTACCTAAGTACATACATACATTTACATCTAAATATAAATTGTAATATAGGAAATGAAACCTCTAAATGGAGTATATTTATTTTTTCAAATAAACCAACGTTTGGTCACATGAGACGCATAGATGTATACACGATTTATTTCCGAAAAATAGTTTCATTTCCTATGTGTAATAATCGCCTGAAAACCGCCGAACTGATAATTTTAAAATATTTCCATCCACGTTGAACAATGGTTTCGGGTAGAAAAATACCTCACAAATACTATTTATTATACCTTTAAAAATATCATAAAAGTTATATGTTTAGTCAAATAAGTATAAATTTAAACGTTTTTAGATTAATCTAAAGTCGATTTGGGAACACACCGCTCCGATAATAGCAGCATGTCATAGTTTTATAATATAAAATCATCACGTGCACGGCACAGGGTTCTAAATTAGGGGACCCCTTGATAAAACTATTTGTCAAGTTGTCGACGCTTTAAAAAAAATTGACAAAATAGCGCAGTTGCGAATGCTCTTGGGGTTTTCATGGATTTGTTCGGGGTGTATTGCATTTTTTTATATTTATTTCGAGTTTAATTATTCAGCGTATTTATTACTCTATGCAGTAGTCGTGTTATGGGAGCAAAAATAGGCGCTCTTCTTCCTGAAAACATTTCAAGGAAATTACATACGTAGAGGTAATATCAAAAACAGTATCTCTACCAGGAGTTTAGACCCCGAGATTACTTAATAATACTTTTTTCAAGCAAATTGTACTGCGTCCCCTAGCGTCCATAAAAAGAAATAATAATTCATATGATAATATTTTACCTACGCGGCCTGTAGCGACAACTGTCATTGTAAAATCCTGTCTTTTACTATTCATTACTTAGAATAAAAATAAATTAATAATGCTCAAGAAAAACAAACATAGTTAATTCATCATTATAAAGAATGATTTTGTTTTTACGAACGAAATATAGAAATAAAACTTGGATTTAATTCCTTGCACTGTAATCAATATTGTGTAAATTAATACACACGAATATGGAAATCAAAACTTCAATGTTTCCCTCACCTATTAGTCCATCAGCACAGCAAAGGAAAAGCGTCCACCACAGCAATCCAAAAAGCGTGAATCGCCGGGACGCGCTCACCATTTTTCCAAAATCACATTTTTCCCCTCCATTCCAACTACTTCATGTAAACAACACCATATTAATTACTAATCACTAGATCATCCTTTAAACAGGGCAATGGCTTTTTCTATACAGTATATATTTAATAAATTGGATTTAAGGTTGAACGACTTCGAACGTAAACACGCGTGGATTGGAACATCAATCGACACACCCACTCCGTTCAAAAGCTTGCGCGGTACTGAATTTCGCTTCGATTCAAACGAATGATTACGAGCTGTAGGACGTAGGGAGTTCAGAAAAAGCTACATCTCTCGTAGCAAGTACTACGCGTACCGTTAGCAACACAAACCGCATTTGTAGCTTGTTGTGTATTGTGTTTTATACAAAGCTGCTGAGTAGTCTTCGGCGCCGCGCAAACGTGTGTTTTGTGTTGGATACAAGCAACAGACAACTTGAAACGAATATTCTTTAGTCAACGATTACGGCAACCGCAAATGTATGAAAATTGAATATTCGGTTCTATACTACAAAGGTTTAGGTAACTAACTAAATGTAAACAAACCGTAATGAAGTATTTTATGAGACATTACCTGGTTACTTATTGCAAAATTATAATGAACTTCTTGAAAATAGTTCTAAATATACATATGATAATATTTTCAAGTAATAAACAACATTTCGAACTACCTATTTAAATAGTACTAAATGTATAATTATAAATATAATATTTAAAAAAAGATGTTTAAATAACACGTATTACACCTTACCTACGATAAACAACCTTAAATAAAATTTTGCCTATAAGAAGATGACAACTAATAATATGCAACCAAATCAAAGAGGACAGTAGTAATACGGCGTATGAAACTCACTACTAAATTTTGTATTTGACCGGTTAACTGCGTGACAATTGAAGTTTGTTTATATACTTTTAGCATCGAGTATATAATATACTCGATTACCTTATAGTTAATTACCTTTATACTATAGTTGCCGTTTGCTTGTCTCCAACACAAGACACACTCTGAATAACGAAAATTAAAACGCTTACCTTCTAAAGCAAGGCTTAAGGCTCCCAAGTCGATTATGTATACTTTTTGTACGGTAGGTGTAAGAAAATGTCATGAGAATCTCGAAGGTCTAACTCTACAAAGACGTTTTGTAAATGTTTTTACTAGCAGTAAAGCTCCTTACGAAAACGTTTCCCTGTGTTTACTTCATTCTCCTGAATTAATCCCCCTAAGTTTCCTCTATGAAAATAGTGTCAGCATACATATATTAAACAATGCTCTATTTAAAAATCCACGTCAAAGAATAATGGTGACATATATTTTTGCTACCACTTTAAAAAAAATAAGAACCCTTGCGAATTATAACCATAGACAATATAATATTATACTGCTACTATCATAACATCATAAAATATTTATAATTACAAATTAAAATAGAATGTGTATGGCAATTCGTATCTTATATACAATCATTGTCATACACCAAATATTGTTTTATTTGTTTTTTATCATGCCAAACATTTATTACAGACAAACAATATTGTCGACACTGAACAGACTTACATTACTCACACAGAACAGAAGTCCATTTTCTACCCAGGTTGCTGCGAGAGGCCATTGAATTTAAAAAATATCCTAATTTCAACAGGGAAGATTATTTCTCCGTACAACTTTTCCTTTGATATCCAATTTTTCCTCTCATGAAAAATCCTAAGCAGCCAAAGCCGAATTTACATTTGTCTGATGTGTCGTGTCGTGACACGTCAGAACGGTGTCGGTATCATACATTTACTTTACATCTGACGTGACGGCTTGTGTAGTGTCGCATTAGAAGCGATCTCGATCTGCGTCAGGACGGGTGAGATGTGCATACGCCAGTGCTGTGTTGTGACGCGTCAGACGAGGGTATTGATTCAAAATATCGTCAGAAGGCGTCAGAACGCAATATATAGATGTGAACACTAGCCATGACGTCAGAGCTCATCACGACACGTCACGTCAGACAAATATAAACGCGGCTTAAGACTCTGCAGTCTTAACAGTCGTAGAACTGTTACTACGGGTCGTATTCCAGAACTCTACTCAATGCTCAAGTCAGGACTTCAGTATGATTTAAAGCACTAGAAATCATACTCGAGTCCTTGCCATTAGGGTCGTATTTCCAGTGCTTTAAATCATACTGAAGACTTGACTTGAGCATTGAGTAGAGTTCTGGAATACGACTCTAGGTCTTCATTTTGTTTCTAATTTCCTTTTAAGGCTTTAATTTAATTTATTTAATATTCATATTGTTAAAATACAATGTTTCACAAAACATAATATGTACTACAAAGTTATAATAAATGTTCTTTGGTAAATTAAAATTAATAACTATTTTGACCATAATGAAAAATATGGTGATTTGCATTAATACTAGACATAATTAGTTGATGACTTTACCATCTCAGTCAGCCGTGACCATGGGACCTGTAAAGAGCCCGAAACGTTGACTTGTTTGAAAAAAAAATGAAATATACGCGAATTAGAACCGATCCAAAAAAAAAATTTTCTTTTTCAATATGTAACAATCGCGAAAACCATATTTTCTTTCGGTAGGTTTTCACACAAAAACTGGAGAATAATAGAGCAACGATGATCGAACACGAAACAGATCTGTTTTATATCTGCATTATTCTAGGTTCCGTTCGGCACGACAAGAGCAATATCTTAATTGCATGACACTTCAATTTAGGAGACAAAGCGTCTGTTGGAAAAATAACATGACGTATTTATCAATGGAAAGAGGAAATTCGAGTTTAGGAAAATATTAAGCGCATAGTTGCGTGTCAAATAAAACAGAGTAATATTATTACCTAATCATTATATCGCTACTTTTCCAGAATAGTGATCCAAACCAAATGAATATATTTTTTCTCGTATCGCACACCTGTATTCTGAATGTGTTGAAGTGATGGATAAGACACCGAGTTTTCCATTGGTTAAAACAATCAACGTTATAACATTGGGCCGACACTTATACATTTGGCCAGTATTGAGTGCTACTAGATACGACTCAATTTCTTTTAAATCATACTAAAAATCAGTTAGGTGTTTTTGAGATAGGTCGTTATTCTAGAAAGCCATGGATATGTAAAGATTGAAGTTTTTGAACCTACACGGCGTATTTTATACGCACCGCAGACGCACGGTAGACGCGCGTATGTATCACACGTTTTGATAAGGTGTTTCTTAATTTCAGTTAGTTTTTGTGATGAAGCAACTACATGAAATTCTAAGTGTAAGCTCCAGTGGAGTATAGAACCTTCTTGCTTGCAACGCGATGTTTGAATCGAGACACTACAGCGCGTCTGAAGCCCGTAACCGCGAAGATGACGCGCGATTACGGCGCTGTAAACGCGTGTTTGTGATACGCGCGTCGTCGGCGCATAAAAGTGTTTGTGGTACCGTCGTTGTTTCCGATTTCCATAACACAAGTGCTTTAGCTACTTACTTGGGGATCAGAGCAACGTATTTGTAATGTTGTCTAATATTTATTTATTTATTAGTTTTTCAATAGAAATAGACTATTTTGCAAAGTAAAATTACAATGGCTAGGAAGACTTCTTTAATATCTAATATAGTGTATTTTGTATACTTATATATTATTAACCTCAAAAACTACAAAAAAAAATCGAAAAATTATTTACGTAGCTTCTTTTATGTATTTGATATTACAGTGTTTTGGTTTGACACGGCAGTACAGTCCAGCAAGTTGATAAAGTCATCGTCGCGACTAATTCATAGAACCCTAATTCGATAATTGTACTATAAGCAGTTGAGTCTTAGTTGCAGGAAGGTTACCATATTACCGTAACTTCATCGGATTTACGTAGTTATAACATAACAAATTTCAAGTCAAATAAAATAAATATTCATTACATGATTGAGAGCACTAGGGCTTCTGACAGATTGACTGCATGTTTGCAATTAATGCGTAAAGTCGTAATCAACTTCGTGCAGACGATACGTCGACTGCATGAAGTTGATAACGACTTCACGCATTAACTGCATGCAGTCGAAGCCGACTCTCGCCGCTTTATATGCAGTTAGATTACATGATCAAAGGCACGTCTGCTCGCCTCGAGAATTTTGCATGGAGTGAAAATATTTGTGAACAATCATTGATCTACCAATAAAGAACAATCCAAAATTTCAAAAGTAAATGGCCAAGAACCAGAGAAAAGGCTGATAAAAAAGACGAGATGACGATGAAGGAGGTCGCATAGTCGCACAATTAATGTGTGAAGTCGTTATCAACTTCTTGGAGTCGTGGTCTCGGCGTCATAAAGTTGATTACTTCACGGATTAACCACAAGCATGCAGACAATCTGTTAGCAGCATTAGTGAGAAAAGAGCTAATGATCTTTAAACAGATGAACTCATATTATTTATCAAACAATAAGCGTTGTTGAAGAACCAACCCGATCAACGTGATCTTCAAATAAAAAAACCGTTTTAAGATAAGTCTAGGTATAGGTAGGTAGGTAGCTAGTCCATTGCTAGGTAGTCCGTTTGGGAGTCACGGTGCCACAGACATATCTACAGACACTAAGATACACAGAAAAAGGCTTCAAACTCCCCTCTTTTTGCAGCGAGGTTTAAGGCAAGGCATTACAACACGAGCCTAGATTTGTGGAGGTGAGGAGTGGGGGGTCGCCTCGCGTCCCGCAGTCCGCGCGCTGTTAATTAATATGAATAAAAAAGGAACAGGCGGAGAAAATTTGGCACAGATCCGACGTCTACAAGCGCCCTATGGCGATTGACGCGACGGGACAACGGGTGGCGCGGCGTGTCGTTTTAGGGCGCTTTGCCATTATGTCGTCACGTTTTATTATCGTTGGACGACTGTCGTGTCTAGCCTGTTCCCATATCACGACTACCTGTCATGGACGATTTTTTATCGTTGAACGACTATCGTTACTAGCTGTTCCCACTAGATCGTCACGACAAGGATGTCGTTTGCACGACAGAATCGTTTGATGCCCTGCAGTCGATTTTATGTTCTTTTGGAAGCCGGTAGTGTGTGTTCGCTCGAAATGGATGACGACGAAATTTTAATATTTT